CACACACACACACACACACACACACACACACACACACACACACACACACACACACACACACACACACACACACACAAACAAATGTGCTCAAATAGCAAATAAAACTTGAAAAAGAATCAGGCAGACCCAACAAGCACACATCGGCCGAACATCATCAGAAAATCTGTTGAATTATTCACCAGCAGCTCTCAGGTGTTGTGCTCCTCTTTAAATGTTTTTCTATTTTTGCTGCTGAACTTAAAACAATCATTCAGCCGGGGCCCGGGGCCCGGGGCCGGACCAGCGCAGGCCGAGCTGCGATAATGCACTTGGACAGTCCAGGTCAAGGATTTAACGCAGCCTTGCCGCCCTGTTCTTCTTCGTCTCTGTCGGGAGGATTTGATGGAGCTGACCGGAGAGACGAGCCTTTTCCTCTGCAGGACACAGGAATGTTTGAATGTGGTGTTTAGCAAAAAATAATAATAAAAAAAAACATTTTGTTCGACTCTCTTCTTCACAAAACATAACACTTGTTTTAGAAAATCATCGCTGCCAACTTGTGTTCAGTTTACAAGGAACAGCCCTCTGAAATCTGCAGGTTTTTCTGATGAAAAACAACGAAACAAAAGGTTTGTAAAATAATCAGTCAGGTCCGCTTTATATGTATGAAAATCACTTTGGCAACATATTTCAACTGGATAAATCAGTCAGTAATCACGTTCTCCAAACCACACCGCTGCTGCCAGTTCTTCACAACACGGGATGAGTGCTGAGTTCGGACCGGGCCGGTTCTGTCTCTGCAGGCCCGTCTGTGGAAAACTGAGACGACAGAAACTGGCGTGAGAGAGGCAGGAAGCGCCGGTTCTGTTTGAGTTTTAAAAAAAATAACCCAACGYCTCATCATCGTCCTGATCTCTGAAGCGACTCCTGTTTGCTCGGATCAGATCCCCGAAGGCCGCAGTGGCTCCTGCGTCTCCGTGATGACGGTGTGAGTTTCGAWGGGCGGGGGTGACCGTGGAGTCGCTGTTCGTCACAAGCAGGACTCGTGGGAGCCGATGTTTGTGTGCAGAGGCTTCTTCTCCTGCTCTTTGTGGTTCCCGTTGTGAAGGACAGAATACCTGAGAGGAGACAGAGGCAGGGAGGGAGGGGTCATGAGACAAGAAGGAAACTCCAGCGGCAGACATTTTGTTTTACTTCTAGAAGCTCTAAAAGTAAATTAGGCTTTGGGCAGCTGAGTTAAGTTTTATAACAAAATAATACACCAGGGGTCTGCAAACCTTTAAGATCAAAGTTATATCTGTTTAATAAGGTTTTTTTTTTTCACTTGAATCTGATGGAACGGCTTCTTTGCAAATGAAAAATAACAAAATAACAGTATGTGATTGTAGATAAACAATCTAAACGCTGACCATGTGACGTTGTCAGTAGGGGTGTAAGAAAATATCGATACACTGAAATATCGCGATATTTTATTTCCCGATACTGTATCAATATTCTAATGCCCTGTATCGATTTTTAATTAAGGTTTAAAATGTCAACCTTCTTGCCAACTGTTCATTTTTATGATCAAATTCAATTCAATTCAAATTCAAAAATACTTTATTGATCCCAGAGGGAAATTAGGTAATTATGTTGTAGTTCAGCCTCTGACCACTAGTTGGCAGCAGTGAGCCAGCCATTTGGCTCCTCTACCTCTTGAGTGCCAGAGAGTAAAGGGCTCGACATACGGGAGGCGACGTCGCTCGCCCTCCTCCAGCTAAGCAACCGGCGAAAATAGTGCATGTGAAATTTCGCGCTCGTACACGTAGACGTGCACACGCGAGCTTGCGACGCGACATATGAAAGTTGAGAAATGTTCAACTTTTGTCGCTGTCGCTTAGCGTACAACCAATCAGCGAGGGTTTCATTGACTGACCAATGAGAGGAGAGTATGCTACACACTGCAGTTAGCTAACACTTTCACCAAGTGATTACTAAAAAGCTTTGTGGGAATTTATTGGCACCAGGGTGAAGTTTATGGTAAGTTTTTCCTCATAAAACTGTATCTTGATGTGCGTTTGTTTTTCAATATCATTAGCATCGCAAGATTTGTTTAGTTTACACGTCCGTAATGCACACCCGCCTTCAGAGTCAAGAACCAATCAAATTCGATCGCTATCGTGTCCCGTGTGTCGGGTTTCACCTTGGCTACGATGACAGCCGTTAATCGCTGTAGTTTGTCGCTCCCCGTGTGTCGAGCCCTTAACGGTAGCATTAGCATTGTAAGTAAACATTAGCTTTTATTTTTATTTTTTTTTAGTAAGAGGTTTTTATTTAATAGAATTTTTGGACAAAAAATCGCAATATTTCACAATATATTGCCTTGCTTACAATATTGCAATATATCAGGGTATATCGTATCGTGACCCCTCTGTTATGATACGTATGTATCGTATCGCCAAATTCTTGCCAATACACAGCCCTAGTTGTCAGGAGGATTACTTTGAATCTGCTTTGGTTGCTTTAACAGGTTTAACAAATCTGCAGGATTCACAGTATTTGGGTCAGATTCTCTGCAGAAAACRTGTTCCAGAACGGACTTACGTACATTTTGTCAAACACTGATTTGTGTTGATGCAGTGTGAGTGTGTGTGTGTGAGAGCGAGCTTCAAGGACCTGCAGGCTAAAATCATTATGTGCTGTTCCTACAAACAACCTGACCGAAGACACTTCCTGCTGCCAAACTGGCCATGAAATGCACCTTCTAGACGGCCACAAACATTTAGAAAYAGGCTGCATATTCTACCCAGAACAGAACACTAAATTACTCCCACATTGCAGTAAAACCCACRAGCTGGTCCTCACTGTGGGGGGGCTGCGGCTGCCAAGAAATATTTCAATTTAAGATTTGAAAAAACAACCAGAGGTTTTTGAGTTTAGATCAATTAATCCAAGTCTAGTGACTTGTGGACAAAATTACTCAGCAACTTACGGACAGATTTTCATGAATTTTTTTTTTTTTTTACCACAGGTGGGTATTGACCAAAGGAACACATCGTTAAATTTTGGTGAAAATCTGGATCATGATCTGGATCCAAGGATTTATTTATGATAGAGGAAATAATCCACCACAGAACTGTAGACAGCCAATCAGCTTCTAGGAAGCTGACTGTAGATTTCAATCACATCGGATCATTCGTAGACGGGTCAACCCCCACGACTGTAGACATCCAGTGGGATTGCCTGAAGCAGAAGACCAATCACGAAGGCGCATAGAAACATAACTTTAGACCCAATTATTTTTAAATCGAAAAAGTTACTGTTCTAAATGACTTTAATGTAACAAAATATCAATTTGATWATATATCGGCCTGCACGTCCYAACAATTTTGTATTTTGTTTACATTTTTTGGATTTTTTTTACCCCCCACCTGTATCGGAAAGGGAAAGGTAAGCTAGACACTCACCCAATCCCCCATTCAGGTCTGATAGGTAACGCTGAGGTTCTCTTAAAAAATATGTTTATTTAATTTCTTTTCTTTTATGGTAAAATGTTTTTTTTTTTTTCATTTTGATGCTGTTCCAGTCCTTGGGTTTTATGTAATTTATTACATTTTTAGTCATTGTAAAGCACTTGTGCACAAGCACACACATATATATGACTAAAAATGTAAAAAATCACATACAACACAAACACTCATTTATATATATATATATATATATATATATACACACACAGTATACATGACTAAAATTGTTATAAATCACATACAACACAAACACTCACACTCATATATATATATTAGGAGGTTATGTTTCCAGTCACGTTTGTCATACTTTGCACAAAATTACTCGACAAATTATGGATGGATTTTCATGTAATTTCCCACAGGTGGGTATGGACCAAAGGAACACATTGTTACATTTAGGTGATGATCCAGATCCAGGAATTTTTTGAAGGACTCTTCACTGTTGCAGGTAGGGTTGGGCAATATTGGCCAAAAAATAAATCACGATTAATTGTGGTATTTAGCCGATAACGATTAATTTGACGATTAATCCCCTGGAGTCTCTGGACACCCTTATTTCATAGTCACATGACCAATTTAGTGGGAAAGATTTGCTCTTCATAAAAATCTGTTCCAAACTGTGTCAAAATTACAGACTTCAGTCTATACATCAAATTTTAAATTGTGTTGATGGATAAATAAGTTGCAGAACTTTTTTTTAATGTTCGTTATATTTGAAGCGGAGAGGAGCAGCGAGTAGATTCTACCTGTTGGCATTAATCGYATTAATCTTCAAGTGCCAAAAATTAATCTATTAATGTTTTTCTGACGATTAATTGTTCACGATACGATTATGCCCAACCCTAGTTGCAGGAAAGGGGAAATTGGCCTTGGCGGAAGTTTGCGCTCTCCAAGTGCTTCTAGTTTATTTATTATATTAATTTATTAAAACAATAAGAAACATCTATATGCAATAAAATCAAAACACAATTGATGAAATGAAAGGAAGCAGAGGGAAGAAAAAGAATCTTATAACATCTGTCCCCCTCTTTTTGTCTAAACTGAATTTAAATAACACAAAGGTTTTGCTAAGTCCAACTTTAAAACAAAACCAGCATCAGGTCCATCGTTTCAATAAATCATTTATAAATCCTCTGTAAAGATGAAATCTCAGCATGTTGCTGAGTTCAGGTGAATATCTGAGAGGTTTGGTTCAGAACAGAAATCAGTGACTTTTAAAAACTAAAACCTGACATGGATGAAAATCTTTTCTGTGTTTCCACAAACGGTGGACGGATGACTTCCTGTCGTCTGTAACAAGACATGATGTGAAACTTAACRGAGGACAAATGATACCAGCTTTACTTCTGCAGCCCGAAAATTCAAATATGAGAGTTTAAACTGGAAACCAGTGGTTCATGAAGACTTTTCATCGCTACAACAAAGACAAAAAAAACAAAAAAACAACAACCTACAAAGTGAAAGCTTAAGCTCTTCATGTCTGCACAAACTCTGTTTAAAACCAAATCGTGTTCATTTGAAGCACAGATTCAGTTCTGCGCTGGGATCAAATGAATCTTTGAAGTGGGACATGTGTCTCGATCCGTCCCGTGTTTATTTGTGTTTTTTATTTGTACACAGCTGAGCCAACAGGGCGACTGGCAGCGCGGCAGACAGGATGCAGATTTGTTTAATGAGGCCAGAGGAGAGACAGAGAGACAGAAGGCCCGGATCACAAGCAGACTAAACATTTCCACATATTTCAGATGGCAATGTGGCAAACATTCATCTTCATAGCGCGCCCTTGATGAAGACATTAAAACGTGCTGCGTAACAAACACTCATGTTCCACGTGGACGAGGTGAGGAGGACAGTTTCCAGTTCCATAAAACTGTATTTTACACTTCAGAATCTGAAAAACATTTTATTATCTCCTGATTAACATCCAAATATAAAAGCAATTAGTAGAAATGGATAGTTTTTTAAATTCTAAATGCTTTAATAGGTGCAGATTTTCAGTTTGCAGAAAGAAAATGTTTTAAGCAAAAAGAAGTGAATGAAAATTCAGTGCTTCACTTTATAAACATTTTAAATGTTTCCCAAACTCTTCTTTTTTTAATGCTAATTTGTTGCATATTTATACTGTATATGTATATG